TATATAGGGCAGATAGCTTTTCTCCTGAGTCTTTTTCAGCCCATGTCTGGAAGTCTCATTTCTGAAATGGAAAGTAGCATTTCTGAGTTTTAAAAATATGTAGATAAGCCACTTCAGTCACTCAAAAGGCATTTATTAAGTGTCTGTTCTGTGCTGGGTACTGTGATTTGTAACTAGGGATACAAAAAAGAAAAGAAAATGAAACAATCTCTGTTCTTGCTTGGTTCCTATGTTCTATGGGGGGTGGGACATGAATACCAATAAATACAAGACAACTGCAAAGTAAATTCTAGGTTATTTTGGGTAAGCTCTCCTGATACCTGTTCCCATTATTATTCGTGAGGAACTTGAACATACCTAAAATTAAATATACAACTTGCAAGATATTAACCTTTAAAGAGAATATGCTGGTTAACTACACAAGTTACTTCTTCCTCTTGCTATGAACCATAGGAGGGGAATGTTATATAGAATGCTATATGTTTTCTCAACAATAAATAGATATATGAAAAGTGTCATTTATTTATTTGAATAGCAACTTGACACTGGCTATAGTGTTGGAATAACAGATCTGGATTCATATCCTGTCATTCCTACAGTAGCTATTACCCTGGGCAAACCACTTAACTTCTTAGAACCCTAATTGGATAATACATATCTCAAGAGTGTTGCTGGACTCAAATGTGATAATATATACAAAGCAATTTGCAAGCCTTAGATAACTATATAAATGTTAGTTATTAATACATAAAGATGCATTCACTGTTGGCAGAAAAAAATAGAAATACTGAAGAGTAACAATTTCATCTTCTGAAAGGAAGTGCAATGGAACTGAACTGAGAGTCAAGAAAAGAATATTATAGTCCAAAATCTGTTGCTAACTAGCTCTGTGATGTTGAGAAATCTATTTAACCTTCATGGGTTTTAGTTTTCTCGACTATCAAATGAGAGGTTGGACAAAGTGAATTGATTCAACGAGAATTTCTTATATACTTAATAAATTAAGGCGCTATGCTAGGCACTGGGAATACAACAACAAAATGAAAAAAAAAATAGCCACTGTTCTCAAGAAGCTTATATTCCTCAATTCAGAGGAAATAACATTCACATGAATAAAACATCCAAGATAATTTGAGGATGGAGAAAACACTAGCAACTAAAGGGATAAGGAAAAGTTTCTCTGAGGAAGTGACACTTAAGTTGAGAAGGCAGACATATTAGAGAATAGTTTTCATGGTAATTTTGGAACACATAGAGTGAGTACATGAGAATAGTATGAAATCAGTCTAGAAAGCTAAACTGGAATTAGCTTGAAGAACTTTAAATTCCAAACAGAGGGTTGTGTGTTTTTTTGTTTTGTTTTTGGTGGTAATCTTCGAGACCATAGACTGCCACTGAATACTTTTGAATAGGAAAATGATATGTTTTATAAAGGTTATTTTGTCATCTTCTTGGAACTTGTATTAGAGAGGAAAGAAACCAAGAACATTGAGTCCAATTGGGAAGCTCCTGTAATAGTCCAGTTGAAAGGTAATGCAGGCCTGAACTTGGGTGGTAATGGAGAGAAGGTAAGGGTGGGACAATGTTTTTGGAAAAATAATTGACCAGGAAGTTAGGGAAAGTATTTTTGATAAACTTTTGCATGATGTAGTGCAATGGCAACCGATTATACATGGGGTGGGGAGGGAGAGGGTTGAAGGAGATCAGAGAGTCAAGAATGGCTCTAAGCTTGAGAAATCTGAGTGATTAGAAAGATGGTAGTTCCCACAGTAGAAACTGGGAAGTTTGGAAGAGGGATGAGTTAAGGGGGAAGATACCATGTTTCACTGAGGACATGATTAGTGCCTGTGAGACCTCCAGTTGGAGATTTGGATCTTCTAAAGCTGGCGCTTGCTAGCAATATTCATAATTTGCTGTTCACCCTAGACTTCATTGTTATCACCCATGAAATGTCAGTTCTTCAGCTACTCCTACTGCTCCTTAGGCTCAAACGTGGGAAGATTATGATATTCTGAATTAGTTTGCCACAGGATCTCAGTAAAGAAGGGACCTAATTTGGTCTCTGGGTAGGGGCAACTGAAGAGAAATCCAGCCAAGAGTCATGAATTGAAGGATTCTCATTCTTGCTTAAAGGACTTAGAAGTCATCTAGGAATATGTTTACAGAAAATTTAGTTTGAGTTATATCATTTGGAAAGATAATAATTACTTTTCCCATAAGTTTCAAACATGGAGTTATCCTTTACCTTTGTTTCTTTCATAATTTAATTTTTTTGCCATTTGTTTTTATTGCCTATCTGTAAAGGGATAGTGTTAGACCATCAGGGGTGGGGAACCTGTGACCTCCAGGCCACATGTTTCCTCGAGGCGGCAGGTTCCCCACCCCTGGTCACTGGTTGATGTTTTAAGGCCTTTCTAGCCCTCAGTTTATAATCCTATTGATCAGTCTTTAAAAATTTATATTTAATGACTTATTTCTTATTATAAATTTCAAAAAGCATTAAAAAGCATTTTACCTAATTTTTTTGTGTTCTTGACTAAAGTTCCTTATCCTGATGAGACTATAACAGCAATTCTAGTTCCATCTGTCTGTCACTTTCTCTAAATCCATTATTAGTTTTCCTTTTGTGTAAACAGATGATTTAGTTGAATGTAGATTCCCTTCCCCCTGTCTAAATAGCTGCTGGAGTGGAGATAATGCAATAAACTGTATAAAAAAGAACCTTTTGAACAAAAAAAAATCATATCAAGCAAAGACAAAAAGAGTAATGGCCAGTGTAGAATGTTTTGTCAACATTACAAAGAAGCTATGTATTTCAATGCCAGATTACTTAATGACCGATTCAGGAAAGGAGTTTTTTAATCTGAGAAAGATCATCATAATTTAGCACAGAAGTTTTACATTAGTTAAAAAAAAACATTAGTATGTAAAATATCTCTTAAAGAATAAGATGAATTATAAACATACACAAGTGTAAGAGATGTAAAAGTTATCTCCATATCTCAGGGGTCTATTTAAAACAGTTTTATAGCTCATCTAGAATGATTTTCATCTGATAAATATCGTATAAGGAAGATGATAGGGTTTGCATTTTAGCAACATGACTTTTAACATAAGATTGACTCTCAAAGATTGAGATTTTGAAAGAAACAGATTTTATTTTCTTCAATATACTTGGTTCTCTCTACCTTGACCTTGACTCCTCCCACTGGTCAGAATTTCTCCAGCATATTTATTTGCTTTTAATTTATATATGTATATTTATATCTGCATCATGGTATTTTTCATTTAATTATTCAGTAGCTTTTTAGGGACTATGGTAAAGACTCAGGCACAGCAGAATAGCATAGTAGACAACCCTGTTGTATTTAAGGTCAAGAAGTTCTGGATTCAAGGTCCACTTCTGACAATTAATAGTTCTGTGACTATGAGCAAGGTTTTCAAACCCTCTGAGCCTCAGTTCCCTTTTCTTTAAAATGAAAGCAATGATACCTACCTTACTAGGTTATTGTAAGACTCAAATGAGATGATATATGTAAAATGCTCTATTATTATCAATTAGTATTATTATTATAGCCACATTGTATTGCCTTGAACAGGAATTAAGTGTGGCATAATGTAAAGCTCAGTGACCTTGGAATCACAAGACTTGAGTTAGAGTTCCACTAGTACCATCTACTACTAATTGTGTGAGCTAACTGAAGGCACCTAATCTTTCTAAGTCTCATTGTCCTCATATGTAAAATGGGAATACTAACATTTGGAGAATCTGTATTTGAGAATTGCTGTGATAATAAAATGAAATTGTATATAGAGAGCCTTTTATAACTATGATGCACAATATAAATGTAAGCAATTATTATCATTACTTCTGTTGAAGAGATAAAGACTCCTTTTCAAAACACATGCTCATCAGTTTATAATTTCTTACTTGGTGTGTAGGTGCCTAACGTTTTGCTGTACACTTGTGCTACTAGCTGTGCCTTAGGCAATAAACATGCCTAACATGCATATGTTTATATCTACAATTTTCTGGAAAATCCAGAATGAAACAAAAGCTGTTTTGTTTTTCTTCAAAAGATTGCGATTATAGTAAGGATCTGACTTTAGATAGATGCCAAGGGTATTAAAATGCCTTTAAAGCACTATGAGTCCCATTGTGGAAGAGGCTGGCAACTGTATTAACTAATCATTTAGTACTAATAATAATAGCAATTATATAACATGTTAAGGTTTTCAAAGTGCTTTGCGTATGGTATCTCATTTGATTCTCACAATTTCCCTAGCAGGTAGGTGATATTATCCTTATTTTACAGATTAATAAAAATGCAAATAAAATAACCTGACATCGGCTATTGAATTCATTTTAAGCATCTAAATATTTTTACTTAATATATTAAACCTCTGAGGTCATCATAGACCGCCCAAAACTTAATGATCTAAGTTACACTATGATCTTCTCACACTAAGAAGAACACTTCTTAGTTTAGCTCAGAGTTCAGATTAGAAGAGGAAGTATCAAGGAGATTCTTTTTGGTCTTGCCATTTGTTCCTGCCCCTCTAAGAAAGCAGATGCCATTGGAAGTCATTTCTATTTCAGCAGCTACTTCTTAGAGATCATCTAATCCTCTCCCCTCATGCTCACATGAGAGATTAGACTTGTTCTTGGCCATAAGAGGCCAGTAGGTACAAGAGGCAGAAAGGTAAATTTCCACTTGGTATAAGGGAAACTTTTGTGAGTTGTTAAAGGTGTTCAGAGATGAACTAGACCCCTTCAAGAGCTTGAGTTCTTTCTCACTTGACATGAAACAAAAGCTGAATTACGCTTGTTGTTCCAGAGGGATTTTGTTTTTTAAGATTCATTTTAAGCTAGATGATCTCTATTTTTCATTTGAACTCTGAGGTCCTGATTCCCAGACTTAACGTATTGGGGTAAATCAGTCCAATCATCAGCAATATCCCTAGCAATATAATGCACAAGCAATCTTTCCCTATTTTAGAATCAACTCCTGAAGAAAAAGCCCAGAAGATTGCTAAAGCCATGCGCAAACAGTCTTTAGAAGTGAAAGAGAAGTGGGAGAACCTCAATGCAGCCACTAAAGATTGGCAAAAACAAGTCAACAAAGCACTTGAGAAACTAAGTGATCTGCAAGGAGCCATGGATGACTTAGATGCTGACCTAAAAGAAGCTGAGGGTGTACGGAATCGCTGGAAGCCTATACGAGAATTACTTATTGACTTTTTGCTGGATGACATAGAAAACGTCACAGTAAGTGCCTTAGTTGTACCATAGTAATCTAGATGTTATTGTCTTTTCTCACTTTTTTACTTCCAGTCTAACTGTGTGACTATTTGACTTGGTTAGAAAATCTGTTAAAAAATTTAGAGCTCTCCTTGAAAGCTTGGTGTTTTGGTGTTTTGATTTAGAAATAGGGAATTTCCTGTTGCTCCTGGACTGTTGGGTAGCTAAATGGTTCAGTGAATAGATCAGAAATCAGGAAGACTCATCTTCCTGAGTTCAAATCACATCTCAAACACTTACTAGCTGGGAGAGCCTGAGCAAGTCACTTAAATATGTTTGCCTCAGTTCCTCATATGTTAAATGAGCTAGAGAAGGAAATGGCAAACCACTCCATATTCTCTGCCAAGAAAACCCCAAACGGGCTCACAATTGAAATGATTGAACAACAACAACAATAAAAAAAATTTTCCAGACTTTTTCCTTCTTAGAACATGCCCAGAAAACATTAAGTATAATCAAAAAGCAGTGTACAAAAGTGAATGAGAATTCTGCCTTCATTTCCTGGCAGAATAATGTCATTAGGGAATGATGTAGACTCTAAAATTCTTAGGAGAATTGTACAAATGCCAAGGAGCAATGATTTGAACTTTAATGATTTAGGACAAACATTAGAAATTCCAAGAAAATCCATAAAATAACCAATAAAAAAGAGTGAAATTTGCAGCAGTACAGTACAAATAGTACAAATGGGTTAGGATTCAGAATATATATGACTTTATTTTGTAATAAGGTCTCTACAATTAGGCTTTTTCCACCTCTACCTTCTTACTTTCATTATGTTGAATGGTTGAATAAAAAAGAGAAGAGAGAAGGCCTAATGACCCTGAATATATTTCTTCATTAGGGAGAACAAGATGTCTAAGGCAGCTACTTCGGGTAGTGGTCTCTAAAATGTTTTGATCACTCACCTCTCATTAAAACAATTCAAATCATTTAATCATGATATATGTATTTTATACATTTATAGTATGTAACTTATGTGTATGTAACATTTGTAATGCTTATTTATAAATTACATACATAACTACTATATTATGTGTATTGTAAAGCTTACTCAAAAATAGAAATAAAAAATAAATATGAAAAACAAAAATGAAATAATATTTGATCCCGGAGTTGAGCCATTAGGTAAGCATGAGTAGGGGTATAACATAGTCAAATCTGCCTTTAGCTAAATCCCTTTGACAGCTATGATGAGGATGGATTGGAGTGGGGAGAGACTTGAGACAGGAATACTAATTAAGAAGCTATTGCAATGGTCTAGGTTAGAGGTGATGCAGACCTAAACTAGAGTGGTGGCTATATGGGTGGGGGCAGTTGTGAGAAATAATTATAATAGCTAGCATTTATATAATGATTTAAGGTTTGCAAAATGCTTTGCAAGTATTATTTCAATTGAATCTCACAACAACCCTGGGAAATAGGTGCTATTATTATCCTCCCTATTTTACAGATAAGGAATCCTCATTTTACAGATAAGACTACAACTACAACAGATAGAGGTTAAGTGGCTTGCCCAGCTAGTAAATGTCTGTGACTGGGATTTGAACTCAGGTCTTCCTGGCTCTGGGTCCAGAATTCTGTCTACTATGTGACCTAGGAGGTGGAACTGATTAGATTTTGATGTGAGATGAAATAAAGCAAGGAGTCAAAAATGACAGTGAACTTGAAGAAATCTGAGTAACCAGAAGGTTGGTGGTTACCTCAGTAGTAATAGGAAAGTTTAGAAGAAGACTAGGTTTTGAAGAAAATATAGATCGTTATCATTGTGATGGTATAATGAGCCATCTGTTGTCTCAACTCTTACTCAGCCCTTAGTCACTGAATGGGCATGGCCTCAGACAAAATGAGACCTGGGAAAGACCTAATTTAGAAAGGCCAAGGTCACCCACTGCGTACTGGACCATTTCCAGTTGTCTTGACCTTTGTCATGCCACTGGATATCAATGACTCTGGAGGAGAGAGTGACTTGGTACAGCTCTGCCTCACTTACATCCGATTCATGTGAAAGTCAAGACATCAAACTTCGTGATATCATTGGTCCTCTTAGAGAGCAAAAGATCAACAACAACAACAACAACATTGTAATTGTATTTCTGAACCAGCCTACAATCCATCCATTCCTATTTATCCTGCCCCACCCCCCAAATGAAAAGGAGGGAGGCACTTATTAGCGTAGCACAGAACCCAGTTTCTGAAGGGTGCCAAGAGGTGGTGAGGAAGGGGCAGGTAGTTAGGTTGGAATTTTCCTAATGGCACCTACAAAACTGCTTTGGGTAGTAGCTAGTGGTTAGTATAGGTTGTAATTTCCCAGAGGCTTATACCTGGCCTAGAGGGAAAGGTTGGAAAGGTAAGTAGCTTGCCTCCCAGAGGGAGTAGATAGAGTAAGAATGTTGAGTGAAAAAGACAGGTGTAGTTATGTTTGAAATAAGCCCTCCACTGGCTATGTCAGTGAAGATGGGAATGGTACCTGTCTTGCAGACCTCTAATTGGCTGATCATCCTTCCTCAACTCTAATCCTGAGGTGACAGAACAACTTTCCCAGGGGCCAATCCCTCTTTTTTTTTTTTTGAGTTTGCTGTTTTAAGACATGCAAACTTTACCTAAAATTCTATTAAAGACTCTCTTTATAGACTAAGTAGACAGTTGTGGTGTGGGGTAAGTGATAGTGTTGTGATTTAGGAGCCACTAGAAAAGGCTTCTCTGTCCCAATATATATCTTTCACTCTGACCCTCTAAATGGTACTTGGAATTCCTGCATTGCCTGTAGTATTTAGTTTACTATTAAAAACATAAAATGTTTCTTGGGAGTGAGAATGAATACATAATTAGTCATCAATAATTTATGTCATATTAGGTTACTAGATTAGCTAACTAGGGAATGAAACAAAGGCTATCCAAGTTTTAATTAAGATGAAAGAAGTCAGGAAAGGTCCAGGAGGTGAATTGACAGGCCTAGAGAGATAAAACCTAGTCAGTTAGAGCATAGGAGTGGTGAATCTTCTGGTCATGAGCATTTCCAAACTTATGCTAGACTGGTCTTGGATGACAAAGACTTGGCTCATTACTGGGCCCTAAGTTAATGCCTCATTAACTTGTTAAAACCTTCTTAAGTTTTGTTCCCTTGGCACAGTCTCTGGGAACTGAGGGTTGCTTCCACTCAAAAATGAGGCACTTTGAATAAAAATTTAGCATAGGAAATGTAGACATCTACTGTTTTGCTTTTTCATATTACCATCCCTGTATGATTAGGAGTGTGAGCAAAGTTTATTTGGAAACCCTGATTCACTTTCAGAATAGTCCTATTTTCATGGCTCAAAACACTTTCTTTGGTTGTTGTTTGAATTAATCCTATTCTCTGTGGACATTTTTCAATGTCCAAGAATTAAAACCAGATTTAGAATTTTTGCATTTTTATAGAATTTCAATAGATTCTTAGCTTTAAAAAAAATTACAACTAACAGCTAGTTGGAAATGGATTTTAAGTTTATGAGATTGGTATTGCAGGAGATGGTTGTTCCACTTTTTTCTAAAGTAAATAAAATCCTCTTAAGATTTTTTTTTTCCTATAAATATGAACCTTTGTTAATACAAGCCATTATATGTGTACATCTATTTTACAAAGACCTTTAAAGATTTCTTCCTTCATCTACTGTCAGAAATGCTGTGCTGGGAAAGGGGACATTGAAGAAAGAGGAATGTTACTTGTTATGTGGAAAAGGGAATCTTCATCTCCTTTTCAAAAGTTTTATGGCTTTGTATACCACCTTGAAGAGCTTCTTTTTAACGTTTGACGTTTAAGCAAGCTCTAAACAAGCTGTCGGGAACAGCTCTTTGTTCTGGTATTAAGAAACCATTTGTTATATCTTGATGGCATTTTCATATAGGAGAATTAAAGTCTATTAACTTTTTCTTGCTATTGAACACGAGACACACATGCATGCACACATGCATGTATACAACTGGCATCCCAGGAAGTGATTGGCAGTCTATAGGCAGACCTGAAAGCCAAAAGGCTCCTCTTGCCAGGAGTAGTCTATTCTTCTAATGCTACTGATCACAGAGGATTTCAGGAGAAACTGGGATAACTGAATTCCTTGGAAAGAATACATTTTTTCTAATCACTTTTGACTTGTTTTAATAATATTTAGCAATAGTCTGTGTCACAGCAAGCAGTTGCTTTTGTCTGCCTACAAATACAGAATGGTTTGATGCATCTCTTCAGTTACAAATAAAGCAATTTTAATTTTTGAAGTAATGTTTTATTGGTTTTAATCTAAATTAGGTTTCTTTAAAAATTTTAATTGAATAAATGTAATCCATATCGTGTTGCTTTCCCTTGAAAATTATTTATGGCATATCCTTACTTCCAGAAAGAAATGTTGAAAGTTTTCTTTAAGCTAAGATTTTAACCAAAATAGTTCAGGGATAAAGAAGTCATTTTTATTCAATGACCCATCACTGACTCCCATAGGCTTAAATGATCCTTAAATATATATATATTTTTATTTTTTTTCCCCAGCATCGGTCTGCCTGCAGTATGCGTAAATTGCTATGTCAAACTATCAGAGCTATTATATAATTATGTAATTATAGAATATTATATAGTGTATATATAATAATAAAATCTACAATACACATATAGAATATAATACACAATATATAATACAAAATATAGTATATATTATATTGTATAATTATATGATTCTTTTAATAATTCATTAGCTACTCATGTATGCTCCAGCAAGAATTTTGGAGTATCCACTTTGAACCATATTTCTAGTGGCAGCTAGTCGAGGCTATTGAAGGTGATGCTCTTCTCCCTTCTACGTGTAGTGCTGATACTTCTGTATTTAAAGGGGAAAATCTCTGTTCATGTGAAGATTTTTGTGCTATTTACAGAATCTTGCTAGTAATCAACTAGATAAATATAAGACTCTTGTTAGTTATAAAGTATCATATATAATACGGGATGTTTCCTACTTGAAAATTGGTTATATTCTAGATACTTAATTATGTTATTTCTTTGGAATTTAGAACACATTTTCCTATAATAACAATGGCATAAATAATAATTGGCTTCCCATACTAACCCATAAAAATTTATTTTAATTTACCACCTAACTGAACTGCTATTTGTAATCAGTTCAAGTAGTAGAAAACAACAGAGAGTAATATAAATTTTGTATTTTCTTCAGTGAAGTATATCCTACCCTCCAGATAGAAACAATCTCTCATCTTTCTATAATCCAATAGCACTTATCACAATTCTCCCTTAGAATTATTTTTGTACTTTTCTCCTATTACATTGTAAACCTTTTGAAGATAGCAGAAGTTCATCTTTATTCAGTCACTAAATAAACATTTGTTAAGCCCCTACTATGTGCTTGGCATTTTGCTAATTGCTAGTATATAAAAAGAGGCAAAAGATAGTTCGCTGCCCTCAAGGACCTCAAAATATAGTACTTCATAGTGCCCTGCATAGTACTTTGTTCATAGTTGGTGTTCAAAAATATTTGGTGCATTAAATTAAGGACAGTTAGTTCTAATTAAGAAAACAGTGTAGATGTAAATAGAAACTCTAGTGAAGTAGAAGTTTTGTGAAATAGAACTCTTGTGAAGACTATAAAGAAAAGGAGGAAGATTAATGAAACCAAGAGTAGATATGATAGTGATGTTCAAGGTGTAGAATCTGATCAAAGTTTTATTTTAAATATGTATTATATAGGTCTAATCATTGAATTAGCAGCCCCATTGACCAGAGTTATATTTCTAAGTCTTTTTTTTTTTTAAAGTTCATCACCGCCACATTTTTTCTCTTCTAACTATCCTTGCTGTTTTTCAGGGTAATAGAGATGGGACATTACTTTTCAGATAGTTTTAATCCTTTTTCTTTTATTCCAGACATTTAAAGAAGAGATTGCACCAATTAGCCTAAAAGTTAAAACAGTGAATGATTTATCCAGTCAGCTGTCTTCTCTTGACTTGCATCCATCTGTAAAGATGTCTCAGGAGCTAGATGATCTTAATAAGCGATGGAAACATTTACGGGTATGACTTCATTCCTTTTCCTTTTGGAGAAATATTCCTTGGATTTTCCCCCTTTCTCCTTTTCTGCCCCAAATAGTTTTTTTTCCCTTTTTCCATTATTTTACCAATTGTCATGGTTAATAATTTCACTATGAAATGAAGTATCTGTCAAGTCAACAAATGTTTAAGAAGCCTCTGCTGTGTGCCAGACTCTGTGTTAGGTGGTGACGATGCAAAGAAAGGTAAAAACAATTCCATACATACCCTCCCCTATCCCCCCCACACACCTACCTGATAAATTGTAGATAATCTCAGAGGGAAAGTCCAGTAAAGGCGTCTTTAAGAAAATGGGATTTTATCTGAGATTTGAGGGAAGCCTAGAAGTCAAGTAAAGAATTCTAGACATGGGGGCCATTTGTGAAAATGCCTAGTTTCAGGGGGTTGAGAACCCTATGCAAGGAACAGCCCGGGAACGAGTGTTACTGTATGTGAAAAGGAGTAAGTACAGAAGACTGGAAAGGCAGGGTGGGCCAGGTTATAGAGTGCTTTTTAGCATCTTGAGCAGTAACGTCATGTAGGTACTTAACTCATCCCTGTTAATAAGGCTTTATTTTTGATGCTAAATTCTTATGATATTTAAGTAAATTACCCAAAAACAGATGACAATAATTGAAACATTTGAAAGCTGAAACATTTCATTTATACTAGCTCATGAAGAAATAATTTTTCCTGCATTATTCCTGTTTTTTTTTTTTCAGAAATAGAAATTTTACTTTCTTTTCATCTTGTTTTATTTCTGCCTCTCCATTTGTACATTTTGACCAAGGAACCCATTTCTGCCTAACTACCCAGAGCCCACTCTTGCTCCTGGCCCTGGCCTTTCTGATTCCTTTATTTTGATACCTTTCTCAATTCTACCTTGTTCTACCTTAGTAAATATTGAGGAAAAAAAGACTTTCTGATTGTCACCATGTTACCTATTAAAAAAAATTAAATGTGTGTACCACAAGGTTAAAGAATGTTACATTTGGGGCAGCTAGGTGGCACAGTGGCTAGAGCTCTGGCCTTGAAGTCAGGAGGACCTGAGTACAAACCCAGCCTCAGACACTTGACACTTACTAGCTGTATGACCCTGGGCGAGTCACTTAACCTCATTGCCTCACCAAAAAGAAAAAAAAAAGAATGTTGCCACCCAGTATTCATTTGTGTGCTGACTACTTCATTTCCAGTGGATCATAGGTAGCAGAAATAAACATGGTTTTTCCAAAATCTTGCATGAAGGCCGAGGTCAGTACTGAGGGGCAGGTAGTATTTGTGTGTCACACTGTGTTTCATTTTTCTCTTTGTTGTTGTTTACTTTTTTATTTTTAGGCAATTGGGGTTAAGTGACTTGCCCAGGGCCACACAGCTAGTAAATGTCAAGTGTTTGGTCTGAGGTCAGATTTGAACTCAGGTCCTCCTGCCTTCAGGGCTGGTGCTCTATCCACTTCGCTACCTAGCTGCCCCTCACACTGCGTTTTAAGGCTTAGAATTGTAACTAAATGAAATTTAAAAATTGATGTTTCCTAAGAAACATTTTTGATTAAACATTTTCATGTATTTGGATTTTTTTTATTTTACTTGAAAATTTGACAAAGCTAGGATGCATATGTGCAGACATTCTTACCTGCTTGACAGTTTCTTGCAGCATATGACACTCAATTTGTGCTGAAATGATTTGAGTAGTGAGACACAAATATATAAGTTGCCACCTATGCTTCCCTTGTGAATAAATACAGAAAACAAAATTTGTCTTTATTTCTAATTCTTACTTGTTTTCATTGGATAGACATTCTTACAGTCCAACTTGATTTACTTCCCAGTCTGTTTCTTTTGCCTTTCATCTTCAAAGATAAGGAATCAGAGAATATGTAATTTTTGAAAGAGAATACATATTCTGTCTTCCTTGTCTCTAATATTGGTAAGCTATGGAACTCAGGTGTCAACTGCTGGGTGGATAGCAGAGAGAAATCTGACCTGGGAGGCAATATTGTTAACACTACAGAAACAGCTTTTTAAAAAAAATTTGTTTGTTTCTCTGAATATAATGAATAATGTGTAGATGGTGTCGAGCTATGATGTAATTTAATTAGACATGGAAGATCAAGCCTGACTCATCAAAAGTCAGGGGAACACATGTTCTCAAATGCTTCCCTCTTAGAAAGGCAGCTGTGAAACTGACGATCTAAATGGAACCAGCTGAGTATAGATATGTAGACAAAGACAAGAAATTCTTTTGAGGAGAGAATTGTTTACCTCTGCCATTTCACTTGCTCCCAGGAGCTATGGTGAGGTGGAAAGCACAGTTGATAAAAAGGCAGGAGACTTGGCTTTTAGTCACAGCTCTGCCAGTAACCAGCAGTCTTTCTGCTGCTGAGTTACTTAATTTCTCTAGGCTCCAGCTTCTTCATCTGTAAAATGAGGGAGCCGAACTATATACCCTGTAAAGTCCTTTGCTGCTCCAGCTTTCACTAACTTCCTCATTTCCTTCTTTTAAGGGTCACTTGTCCATCTCAGTACCCATGTAAAGTCATAGAGGCAGTGTGTAGAACCATCAAGTTGTCCTATATTGTCATATTTAAATCAGTGATTGTGACTATAGTTTTCATTCATTTTCTTTGGAATAAAGAGAATTCTGTTTCAAAACTAACTTTTTTGTTTTTCTTGCATGGATCCATATAGGTTTCAATAGAAAACCGCCTTAAAAAGCTTCAGGAAGCCCAAAGAAGTCTTGTACGATATTCTCAGCGATTTCTTGCTAGTAAGTAATAATAAAGATCCTTGAACTCAAAGTTTTTATTATTAAATTCTTCTTTTTCTGCAGATACTTAAATCCTTAATAAAAGAGTTAATGTTTAAGGGATCCAGTATAAAACAAAACAATTAACTTGCTATGCTTTAAACTTTCTTTTAAGCAAGGTACCCTTCTCCTCCCCCCCCCCTTTCCTGGTTACCCCAAAATCCCTTTATGGAGCCTGGAAAGTCCAAGAAGGATATTTGACTCTTAGCAGGGCCATATTTTTCCTTACCTAAAGACTGACCTTGTGTCCTCATTCTTGCTAGAATGAATCCATAATCCTTGCTCGATTCCAATATTTAGGTCTACTTCTTGCTCGATTCCAATATTTAGGTCTACTTCATCCCTTCCCCAAGATTGCTCCTTTATCCATTGTCCCTGACCTCTGGGATAGACTCTCTAAAGGAACTTAAGTATCCCTGGGCCTTGCCACCTCTACGCCTTCCATCCTTGCTGCCCCTGAACCCTCCAGTATTGTTTTCCCCATTTATATTGTGAAGTCTTTTGAGTGTAGGAATGAAAATAGGGACAGTCTTCTTTTTCTATTTGTTTCCACAGTGCTTAGGCCATAGTAAGGTCTTAAGAAATGCTCATTCATTTTGTGTCTCTGCTATATTAGCTCACAATACTCACTGAATATTTTTTTTCATCTAGCAGTTTATACACAGAGACCAAAACTCACCAATATGAACTTTGCCACATAAAAAATAATTTTCCTGTTCTATCTTTTCTTCTTTAAAATAGTTGTTATTAGTTATTATATAATCGATCATACGATTCAAAGTTACATGTTAGCATGATTTCAGAAGTATAATTGAAACCTATACTAATCCCTATGTAAAAAAAACCAAAACTTTCCCATCAAGAATGGAAGAATTGGACATATTCAGCTAAGAGAAGAGAAAATTTAGAGGTCAGTATATGTGATAACTTTCTTCTGATTCAATTCAACAATCACTTATTGTTGTTTATTATGTATTAGGTACTGTACAGGCATATACTGGGAATTGGGGTATAAAAAAATGAACCTCCCATACCTTTGAAAAGCCCGCACATTACTATCAATACATTTAGAAAAATGGCAAACTGACAAACACACCTTAGAAATAATCTGTGTAATTCAGGTCTCATTAAGTAAAGTGTCAAACTTTTGGCATGGCCTGCTGCCATGTTATGAAAATCTCTTGGAATAAATATAGTTGTGACTTCATTTGTTTCTTGCCTTTTCATGATTTTTAAAACAAATTTAGACTAAAATAGATTATATTCTGTATGACATCAATATTTATTTTTGAACTTTTATCATTAATTAGAATTCAGTATTTTTCGCTTATAGTCTAGGTTCTACCCTTTTCTTTAACTTAAATAGTTCTCATCATTATGATTTCCTTTATTTGAATTTTCCCTAGTTTGTTGATCTAGCATGGTCATTAGTAAATTACCTTTTAATATATAATTGTTAATAATTTTCTGCTTGTGCTCTTTTACCATAACCTTCTGTCATCTACAGTTGTTGCTGAGCTAGCTTATATGAGGATTATGACATATATTGTTTGCCTGAGTACCAAGATAATTTTCTAAATTTACTCTTGTTACTTGGTGGAGAAAATCACATGCTAATTTTTGTTGTAATTAGTTTACATTTTTACTGAGTATTTCCATAATCTCAAAATAATCTAATATTTAAATAAAATTTAACAATATTCCAAAATTGAATATATTTTCTGCTTAATTTTTAATTATAAATAATAGACTAACATGTATCCAGGGTCAGGGTTATGGTTCCATTAAATTATTTATTAGCTTGAATGAGACTCTAAGCTTTGATCCAGCTATCATTTGCAAAAACAAAAAGCGAATCTAGATTTCAGGTGTAATAAGGGAATATGAAATTCACATTTCCTTGTAAAAATTCAGCTCATCATCTTTTACTGCCTGAAACTAGTGATACTAATAGAGGCTAAGGAGGTTAGTTCATTCAAACAAATAATTAAAGTTGAAAAAGGAGTATAAATAGGACCTTAATTAATTTACTAATTGATTTCCCCTGCTGCTTCCAATCTTTAGCTGCCTTATCATTTGGACTTGAGCCATGGATTATGTAAAAGACCTATTTGGTTAGGCCATAGAATTAATACTAACCCATTAGTCTTGTGCCAAAAAGAAATCAGTTGGCTGGCCATATGAGTAATTTTATATGCTATATTCTTGCTTTCTGTTCCCTTTTTGGTTTATTTTTCTTAGTAAAGTTAATTGCTGAAGAAGGAAATTGTCACCATGCTTATTATAGACAAATATTTATAATATAGAGGTCAGAAAAATTTGGTGGACATAGTAGTGGTATCATTGGTAAGAGCTTTTTTCAAGTATCAGATGGAATTTTAATGAAATGGTGTTTTCAAGACAATATTTAACTATCACTTAATATTCTCTTTCCTCCTTAAAATTACTTGAAGTACAAAGATACACAACATGTTGTCAAAACTAGGCTAAGCAAAGCAATAATCAATTATATACTTCAAAAAAATGTGGCAGACTAAGATTAAGACTAGGATTGTCGTCCATTCATTCACTGTGTGTTTGACTCTGTGACTCCATGGACTATTTTTTCTGTGGAGTTTTCTTGGCAAAGATATTGGAGTGGTTTGCCATTTCCTTCTGCAGTGGATCACTTTTTTTTTTTTGGTCAAAGCTCTACACTGTGATCTGGTCAGCATATTTCAGAATTTCATTGAGCTATGTAGGCCCCTACGCCACAACAAAACAGTGATCCAGAAGGACTTTTTTAGGCAAACTGGTTGGGTGACTTGCCCAAGGTCACACAGCTAGTAAGTGTCTGAGACTGGGTTTAAACTCAGGTCTTCCTGTCTCCAGGCCCAGTACTCTATGTACTTTGCACTTAGCTGCCCCTCAGATAAATTAAACCATAATATAAGTTATGAGGTTATGATTTCTTGATATTTCATTTAAAACTGTTTTGAGACTTTATAGAGCTAATTAATTGCTTCAGTTTTCAGTGATCACCCAGTTAATTTCTGTTTAATTTTTACTTTTCAATTTCATATTTTAATATTTTTAAGATCTATAATTTCATTGGTATGAGTACTTTAATGCAGACAATATACCCTGCTAGAACTCATTAGGTGGTTTTTGAGAGTTTTTGTGGCCAAAACAACTCCCTTTTGCCTACCAGCTAATGATCTTCCTTGCACATAACGAGGCTATTCCTCTGATGATAGACAGAGGGCTGGCACATCACTGGGGAAATACTCAGAGCTTTTTCAATTTGAGGTCAGAGTTTACAGGCATATCCTTGAAGAACCCAGAGTCACCTCCCCACCATGATGGGGCATTAGAGTATGACCTTAGTGCTTTTTAATTTCCCACATTATAGAATTTGTCAGATGCCTCCGATTGCCAAAATAATCCTGACCTCCTTAAGCTCACGTGTAGTCAAATAAATAATATAGGCAGTCTGAAATATTAGAGCACAAAAATCTGCTGCTTTTTACTCCCTGGATATTTCTCACAAAGACATAGTTGGTTTTAATTTCCTCATTACTTTGCATATGCTGGGGAAAACATGTTTCATCATAATTTCTAAAAACATACAACACCACTCTTTTTTTAATGGTGGAGACCAGAAATTTTTTTCAGTCTTCTTTCAGCTAGTTGTATCATGTCTACCCTTCTTGGGGTAACAAAGAATGAATATTTTATTGTTTTTTGCTTTGCCTCAAATAAATCTTTGACAACATAACTTTGTATCATGGTTTAATCTAGCTGATTTTTACAATTAGATAAACCTGACAAGTAAATTGGAGGCCTTCATATTTGATATAAAATCCAGATTCAGTTGCTTTGAGTGATGTGCCAAGTTTTTAGGTTGAATATTTATATTGTCTTCCTTTGTTTCCTCAGTTTCTGTCCGGCTTCCATGGCAGAGGTCTGTAGCACAAACCACAGCACCGTACTACGTTAAGTAAGTTGCCTCACTGTAACCAACATAATTAGTTGTTCCATCTTAAGGAAAGCAGATTTCTAAAAATGTGAAAGAATGAGTGTAAACAGCACAATGAGCATTCTCTTTCATTGTGTCAAAGATCTTTTTTTTTATGAGTAAAATTCCACATCTCCCAGGGAAAAAAAAGTTATGATTTCAAATTTTACCTGTATGTAATGTAGAGGCCATCTTGCTATCACAACAATATTAAGTATGATAATAATTATAGTAAGATATATAGTATTTTGAAGATTGCCAAGTGCTTCATATACATTATTTCTTTTGGTATATGTAAAAAATTACAAATTTTAACACTTTAAAGTTTCTTATAAATTTTAGTTCTTCTTATTCTCCCTTATGGCCATTTCATAAGGAACCCTTCCCTCCCCCCAAAACACACACACACACACACGCACACACACACACGCACACACACACACACACACCTCTTCCCCCCCACCCCACTCCTGGCTTAATTCACTCTCTGGATTGCTCCATCTCTTCATTAGCAGACTAGCCTCTTGAAGCCAGCGCCTCTTCATTTGGTTTTCCCCTTAATAGAACGTAAGCTCTTTTCAAGTACTAACTGTCTTGTTTTCTTATAGTTGTATCCTCATTGCCCAGCACAGAGCCTAATACCTGATAAGGGTTTGTGTGTCTCTCTTTTATAGCAAGAAAGATGCTGGAAAAAAAAAAACCCACACAAATATTTGAGTCAGGAGAATTTTAATTAATGCTTTTATTTCTGGGAGATTGGTGAAACAGCAGTATTTACAGGATAGTCAGAAAAATGAACTTTTCCTTGAAAATTCGGAGATGATGTGATTATACTATTTTCATTTTCACATCCACAAATTTTTTATCACGGCATACTTTAGTAGTATAATTGTGTTCTCTACAGGTGTGTCCTTTACCTTATCTGATAAATAAGATACATTTTAGTACTTTTGTCTCTAGATTGCTGAAACTTTTTAAAAGAAGTTTCCCTTCTTCTATAAACTTCTAAAATCCCAGAATTCCTAGTGGTGAATATCTCTTGATAGATAAATTTGAGAAATCACGAGTTAGAATTCAGGTCCTCACTCTGCCAAGTACTAGTTGCAATACCATGGTCAAGTCACTTAAAATCTCAATGTCCCTAGGCAACTCTCTAAAAGTACTACACGTTACAGGTTAGTGGGTAGAAATTATTGGTCCATACAATAAAAATGATTTTTTCCTCTTAAGCCTGAGCAATGGAAAATGAGATAAAATTGATATCAAGCATTCTGCCAACAAAATTGTTATTTTTTACAAAGACACTGACTACCTGTGACAGTGATTCTCTACATGACTCCAGACTCCAAATCCAACCTTTTTTTCATTTCCCCATTCCTCATCTGTAAAATGAAGATGATATTAGCTTTACTACCTCTTTACCAAGTCTATTGAGAGGATCAGATGTGATAATTGTCACACATTTACCTCCTTATACCTCCATAATGTATGTAAAGAGCTTTGTAATATAAATGCCAGCTTTAAAAAATGAATTTTCATAATATATCTAGCTCACTTTTTAACTGTAAAATTTTATAAAAATGTGAGCATTTTAAAATTGATTATGTACTAGGAGAGAGGATGAGAGTTTTACCTTAATTTTATCAAGTGCTTAACAGATTGGATCTCAAGGTCTTTTAGTTGTCTGCATTGTGTTTTACATTTCAACACAGTTTTTAATCTAAAACCTGAAGAGTAGATAATCACTAATAATTAAATAGTTGATCCTTAAAAGTTCCTTCCACTTCAAAATTCCATTAATTTCTATGAAATTTTAAAGAAATTGATTTAAGTACTGAATAGTCATTAGATTTGTTTCTTATTGTATGTTTTTTTAATTACCTTGCATGGTAATAAAGAATATGATTGGGAAAGTTTAATAATTAGTACCCACATTTCTAATACAATTTTAATTATAATGCCACTAACTGAGTAGTGGCACTTTGAATAGTCTGGGTTTGAGGAGTCTCCCTGTGATTTTTCATTATATAAAATAATATAAAAACCAGACTATTCTATATAACATTACTCAGAACTCTAGGTTTCCCTCTATATTCTCCCTCTCCTTTTTCTTTATTTAGGCCTGTGTGGAAGATCCATAGAATTACATGTGTGGTAGGTTATCTTGTACAGGGGACTGAGCTATGATTTATCGCTGTATTAGAGGAATACTAGAGTCAGTCTTTCGTAGTCACTTAAAGCTGAAATAGGTTCTGTGGAACAAAGGACAATTTGGGAATTTTGAGTAGGGTTCAAGAGGTCAGAGTTAGTTATGGGTTATGCTGACAAGATCCTGGCTTGGGGGAGCCAGCAAAAGGGGTTTGAGAGAGTACCTGCAGCTTACCCTTCCTCACCACTGCAAGTCATGCCCTTACTGAGCTTACCCTAAACAAACTCCAGGGAAAGAGTTTTTAACTAGCATTCAGTAAACTTGGTTTTAAAAATATTTTGATAACTATATTTCAGTATAATTGAATCCTTTGTAATTCTGTGCATTTTAAAAAAAATAGGTTATTTTTTAAAAAATTAATCTATTTTCTCTCCCTCTTACCCCCAGCTCATTGGAAAAAGAGAAAAACAAATATGCATAGTTGAAGCAAAACAAAGTCCTTTATTGACAATGTTCAAAAAAAATACATCTCATCCTGCATTCTGAATCCATTATCTCTCATCTCTGCCAGGATGGATTTCATTTTACAGTTTAAAAACATGCCTATAGCCTTTACCAGTTTGCCAGTGCATCTGTATGTTTGTGGGGTGGGTAGGAATGGAGGAAGGGTTGTCAATGACACAAAAAAGATTAATAATCCATGATCTAGTATAAAGTGAGAATTAGAGACAGAGTAGGGGATTGAGCCCAGGCAGCAGGTAGCAGAGGGAAGGAAGAGGAAAGTCTGGCTATGTGACCCTGAGCAAGGCAATTATTTTCTCTGTGCTCTAGGAAATTATAAGACTATGTAACTTCAGAAAAGGTGCCAACCTTCATTGGTAGAAAGTTTCCTCCTCCTGGGAGTTCTATGATTAAATCATAGAACCTGTCTGCCCCTATGTATCTCTGTTTTATTATTCATGATAAGCTAAAAATTTCTTGTGTGCTTGGTTATATAAAATCAAGTACTGCAATGGAATTTTTAAAAGAATATTTCTGCATATAGTATAGAGAATTTCTTTGAGACCATTTATAATACATTATGTAAACAGAGATTGATACCAGCCTCAGGTTATACCAAATTTCTCTCCCTAGGAAAGTAAATATTGTATACTTGGAGATTATGAGCAGGAAAAGAAAAAAAAGGTTAAAAACATCTAATCTATCTAATCTGCTAGACAAATCTATCCTGTATGAGCTCTCTCTCCTTTGTTATTTTGCATTGCTTTTCCTTCCTATTAATTAATTTTTTTTATTGTTAATATGATCACATCCATGTTCATATACATGAATTATTGCATGTGCATGATAAATGTCACCACTACTACCCCCATTCTGTACCTAATCACACTTTGAATTGAGGTCGACACTTTTATATGGTTTCCTTTGGAAGTGGGTCAGGTAGTTGAAAAGGGGTAAAGGGTTAGGAGTTGGCTGGTCTTGGTATTCACTTATAAGTTCTTTTTTTTTTTCTTTTAAAAATTCATTTTATATTTTTGGTGCCTTCTGTATCTTATACCATTTTTACTGGACAAAGTCATTGGAAGTAATAGAAATTTGTTTATTATAAAATATTCCATAACTCAGATATTCTGCCAATTTAGACAGGTTTTATCCTCAATTGATGAAGACACAAAGGCAGTAAATCCATTTTTATGTAACAAAAGAGACATCGATCAAAACTGATCAGAATTGAAGGAAAAAAAAACATTCTCCTCCATTTCCTCCCACCCCACTTCTCTACCAAAAGGACAGAAGTATATTTCATCATTTTTCCTCTAGGACCAAGATAGGTCATTGCATTTTATCTAAAGATTTGCTTTTCTTGAAATTCAAGTCAGCCTAAAGGCCTACCATACTTGCTGATAATGTTGCTGCTTCTCCTCCCATCATTCCTTTATAGTATCCTATACTGTTACAACGTGGGACAGTAGTGGAAATAGATAAAGAGTTAACCTGGACTATGAAGTTCATCTAACTTCATTCTGTAGGTGGGATTTTTTAAAAAAAATCAAGATCATCCTAAGGGTGGATAGGATAATAAAAATTAAATCACAGATAAATTAATTAGCAATTGACAAACTAGAGTATTTTTAATGCAAATTCTCTTATGAATAACTGCACAAGAAAGTAGGTCATAAGTTACAACATGCAAATAATCAGAAAGCCTTTCCCAATCCTCCTTAATTCTAGAATTCCCTGTGTTTATTTCCTATTTATCCTGTATATAGTTTGTACATAATTGTTTGTATTTTGTCTCCCCCATTAGACATTGTAGCACTTTGAGAGCAGGGATGGGTTGGTTTTGGGGATCCCTAACACTTAGCACAGTGTCTGGCACACACTAGGAACCCCAGGCAGCTAGGCAAGTTCGTAAGTTACAGAAAAGTGTTAATTTGTGTTTGTAGACTAAGTTCACTCACCAGGGGTTGCCTATGCCAATGAAATCACATTTGGACCATGCATGTGCAGAGAAATGAACCAGTGATGACCTATGAGAGTCAGCATGACCAAAGGACTTGCCTTCAAATCAAGCAAAATTGGCTTATGTCATGCTTTTGATTCATACTGGCTAGCCACTTGAACGTGAGGGCAGGGGCTCTTTGATATTTTGTATTTTTATTCCCTGGCACCTAGGATAGAGCTTTCAGGCGAGTGCACCCTTAATAAAGACTTGTTGATTGATTCATTGGGTGATCACAAGCTAGTTACTTTATCTTTCAGTGGCTCAGGCATCTCTCTAAATCTATTGTGTTAGAGATAAGATGTTGATTTCTATTACTGCAGAGAATTC